TCTCCAAGAGGGGCCACAAAGGCTATCTGTGGGGCTGGACAAAGGGTCTCACTGTCTTATGAGGATGCTCATCTCTAAACTCCAGTTCACATCACTTCTACATGCAGGATAAGTGAGGCTCCTTCTCCAGCTGCCTTACCCTCACTGCTCAAATCTGCCTCCTCCAGGAAGCCTTCCCTGACCACTCAAGGGAACCGTGCTTTTCTTCCTTGGATATCCACTTTGAATACCTGACGATCTTATAAGATGTTTTATCCTTAAAACATTTTTTTTTTGGTTATAAAGTCTTTTTGTTATTCATAGCCTTTAATTTTTAGAGCTGTTTTAGTTTCACAGCAACTTCATGCATTTTTTTTATACCACTTGCCCACTGCACAGGGCCCAGAGTCACTACGAATAGCAGGTGCTGAAAAAAGATGTTGCCTGATAGACAGCTAATCAGGAAGCGATCCAAATCTGGGAGTGACAGGAAGCCATTGACTAAAGGGAGGCTGTGACGTGAGAAGTCTTGTGCCGGCTCAAAGAGTGGCGGTGAATGGACACTGAAGTCCCTTCTCCCCTGCCCCATCACCTACCAGAAATGTGTCTGCAGAGCACAGCGCCATCCCCCAGACTCCGCAGGGGAAACCTCCAGGGCGAGTGGTGGCATGCGGCTCCAGCCCCACAGGGCGCCACAACACAGGGCGCCACAACACAGGGCACAGCTCGGAGGAGGGGCCGCGATCAGGGGCGTGGGGGCTCGGTCCCATTTCCAGGACCATGCCCTGCTTTCTGTCCCCCACAAACACTGGCCAGACCAGTGTGTTCTATCTTCTCATATTATTTTTTATAAACACCCCAGTGTGAAGAACATAATAATGAGGCTGGGAGCCCACATTTACACTAGATTTCTGTCTCCATTTTCATCCCATTTTATAAACCAGCTTTGTCAGTTTAACAGCATCCCTGAACAAGAGCACTGGCCTTGAAGTGGTGCGTTCGCGGTCGTAATAGTAACCACCACCGACCAAGCGCTCAGGGCGTCCACACCCCGTGTTGCAGACTCTACAGGCACCACCTCATTCAGTGCTTGAACAGCTGTCTGTCACCCGCAGGTTACAGATGATGACAATGATGCTCAGAGAGCTTAGGCCAGTAAGTGGCAGAGCCAGGGTCAAACTCAGCTCTTTCTCCCTGACCCACAAAGCCCCAAAAGCCAAACCACTGTGCTCTATAGCCTCGGCACACCACCAGGAAACAGAAAAACCAACAGCAGGGAGGATGGGGAGAGGGAGAAGGGAAGACGGTGAGAAGGAGAGAGCAGTGTGCCCTTAGCAGAGTGGAAACCAAGCAGGGAAGTTGCTGGTGACCACTGCAGAAATCAGCCACAAAATACGCACAAGCCATTTCCTCTCTCAAGGAAGATAAACAATAGATTCATAAACAAATTTTACAAAGCTGCCCAGCTAGTTAAAGCATTTTGGTAGAAACTCACATCCTTTGTGAGCATAAAGCTCATTCCCAATGGTCAACAGTTATCCTGGGGAGAGGGAAGGTGTAAAGAGAGGAGAGCAGAGGGACACACTTTCTCCCAGTCCTTCCCCTGCTGGGCCTGTGACCGTAGCCAGTTGCATAACCTCTCTGGGCTTTGGTTCACTCTTCTGTGAAAAAGGAATATATATTCCTGCCCAACGGGGCTACTGTGGAGAAGAAAAAAGATCCACTTTCTGGCAATATGGCAGACAAGATACTCTATTCAACTTTCCTAATTCAAACAACTAACATGCTGGATAACATTTTAAATATGAAGATTGAATACACATTGTTGAGTTGGTATAAATGCAAAGATTCCTCAAAGACCAAAACAAGCCAAAAGCAGGGACCCTGGGAGATGAGCTAGCACCAAAGCTGGCCTCTGCTCTGAGGGTTTCTGCTGAACACTGGAGATTCTGCTTCCCAGTGATAGCTGCCTAGGGAGACCTCTACATCAAGTTGGGACTTCAAATGTCTCCACTCTTGGTGAGTGAGAATTGAACGCACAACACAGAAGGGCGCTGTCAGGAAACTTGACCTTGGGCTGTGCAGAAAGGGGGAAAAAATACCTCTTCTGAAAATTTATAATCATAAGCTGAACTTTATACAGGTTGGCACTCTGAATTATGTTACCTTAGGGTAGCCAGGAAAGTCTGCAGTAGAGATTTAATTTAAGGTGATTTTTGGCTGGTAGTGTCCCCCAGACAACTAGCAGAAGTTAATACAAATCCTCTCTGAAAACACCAACTTCAACCCACACCTCGGATAATTCCCAGAGATAAAGTTCCAAGGAAAATGAGCAGCTCACAGGAAACAAGGCACTCTGAATACAGCAGAAACAACAGATGGCACAATCAGACCTGCAAAGACTTCAGATTCTGGAATTGCCAGACATAAATTTATAAAATTTCTAAAGAGCTAATTCAGTATTTTAAAGAAATAAAAGTCTTCAAATATGAGTGAGAAATAAGAAACCAGAAAAATCACCAAGGAGATCTGAAAAATAATGGACCCAGAACTTCCAGAAATGACAAATAAAGGAAGTGAAAAGAAAAAAATTCAATGGATGGATTAAACGGCATTTAAGACACAGAATAGGTGTAGGGTGGAAAAAGAAAAAAATAAGACACAGAATAAATTAATTAAATAGAAGATAGATCTGAAGAAATTACTCAGAGTTTATCATAGACAAAGAGATAAAAAACATAAAGTAAAGAGATACAGAGAACAGAGCGAGAAGGTCTAATATAAGTCTAAGTGGGGTTCCAGAAAGAGAGATTAGAGAGAATGGGGAAGTGGCAATATTCAAAGAAATGAAGGGTGAGGATTTTCCAGAAATGTTGGAAGATACAAATCTTTAGCTCTAGGAATCCCAACGAAACCCAAAGAGAATAAATAAAGACAGAAAAATTTACACCGAGACACATGGTAATGAAGCTGCAGAACACAAAAGAAAATGACCATCTTTAATGCAGCCGGAGAGATATATCAGATCACTGACAAAGGAACAGCAATTAAACTGACAGCCAACTTCTCAACAGCAGCACTCAATGCCAGAGGCAGTGGAGTAACAGCTTCGATGACCTAAGAAAATATCCAGGAAAGCTACCGTTCAAAACTGAGAGCAAAAGGCATTCAAACCAGCTAAAACCAAAAGCAAACCAAACCAAAACAGAAAAACCTTGAGAGAGTTTACCACCAACAGACCCTCACTGAAAGATAATGCTGAAGGATTTATTTTGGGCAGAAGGAAAACGATCTCAAATTCATGAAAGGATGGTGAGAAAAATATATGATAAATATAAGTAAATATTTATATAAAAACAATGACATTTAATGTGTAGGGAAAAATAGGGTAGAGGGAAAACATAGGATAACAATAGTATATAAACTGGGAAAGGCAGTGATTAGAATTAAACCAGTCTACAGTTCTTGTATTGTTTGTAAGAAAAGGAAAGATACTGATTAATTCTAGACTTTAAGTATGCATGTTAAAATGCTTAAAATACTTGGGTAGGTACTCAGGAGACTGAGATGGGAGGATCACTTGAGCCCAGGAGTTCAAGGCTAGCCTGGGCAACATAGCAAGATCCCATCTCTAAAAAAATAAATAACTGGGATAATCATTGAAGAAAAAGACATTAAGCATGTAAATTCCAAATAAGAAGAAGGTTAATGGAATTGGGCGGGGTGGTGGAGAACATCTCATTCTAAAAGAAAGAGCAGAAAAAATTAAAGGCATATAAAGAGAAATAAATCCCATTTTGTCAATAAGATATACCAATTCTAAACATCTACACACCAAATAGCGTTGCCTTAAAATATACAAAGCAAAAATTTCAGCTCTGCAAGACACAACTGACAAATCCAGTGGGAAATTTTAATACACCTCTCTCAATAATTGATAGATCAATCAGACGAAATCAGAAAAGGATATATTGCAGATGATTTGAACAGCACAATGAACTAACTTATCTCAGTGGTGATATATAGAAAACTATATCCAATATTAATAAATACACATTTTTTCAAGCTCTTATGGAAAAAATTTGGAGAGTGAAGGAGCACAAAGAAGTAGCTCAATGCATATTTCAAACTCTTTTCAAGGATCCCAACCTATTTTGCCCTAAAAAGACATAGACCTTATCTTTCTTTTTGGTCGCTATATCTCCAGAGTCTAGCACAGTGCCTGTCGCAAAGGAAGTTTTCGATAGTTACTGAAGAAGGAATGGCGGCCGAATGATTCTCTGTTGAAGACCGCACAGGTTGGGTGAGCAACCAGCGGGGCGGACACTGGAGGTAATAAAGCCCTTTCCAACACAGAGGTGATGAAAGGACAGGTGAGCAGCGTCAATCTCTCGTGAGAATTTACACAAAAAAGAAAGGCAGAGTCAAATCCAAAGAGCGAGGCATGTGGAAGAGTCTTTGAAAGTCCAGTCTTTGTGGTTCCAAATGGTAGAGCAGAGACCAGCAGACAGAAATGAAGAGCGGCAGAGTTTGTCCCAATATTAGGAAGAACTTTCTAGCAATTAACTGTCCAACACTGGTTAGGAAATGGCCTGGCTGATTGTCTAAGGCCCCTTCGGACTCTGTGTGGGACAGGAGTCTGTCTGGCAGTACTCGGAGTCTCAGACCACAGACTAAGCAGGCTTTCCAATTCCAGTATAGCCCAGAGATTCTTTCGCCCGAAATTCCCCGGATACTCATCCCTAAAAGACCTGTTCAAGGTCCCAGATTGAGGAAGAGGTGGAGGACGCATGACAGTTCCATCCCCAGACACTCAACTCAGTGCCCTTTCTGCTCCACATCAGCCTCTCCTTTAACCTAAGTGAGCACACCTCACCCTGTTAGGGTGACGTGTACTTTTTAAGTCTACCTCGTCCCAGGAAACCCTACTCTTTCAGCACGTGGCAAGGGATTACAAAAGCACATAGAATTTGGTAATGTGAAAATCCCTCAGCCTTCCAGGAGAAGGAAAACAAGCTCACCTTGAGCTCCGCAGCAGATGGCTGAGTTGGGGGCCTGGCTCTGGGGGCTTCTCCTGCGGCCGGCCGGTCATGCTGCTCTCATGCTGCTCGGCAGGTGGGAAGAGGAGACCTGGTTCTGTGGGGAAAGGAGGAGGAAAGGTCACGTCTTCATCACTTTGCTCGTAGCCCTCCATCACCATCCTGCAGAGGACACTACCTGAAACCCCAGGGGGTTCCCAAGGCTGGCCTTGCTCACTCTTGCATCACGGGGAGGAAGGCGAGCATGCGGTCAACAAACGTTTTCAGAAAGGCCTATGGTGTGCCAGGCACTGAGGAATGAGGCCACACAGACGAATTATATGCAGCCCCTGCTGTCAGGAAACAGTCCCAGAGAGAGAGAGAGAGAGAGAGAGAGAGAGAGAGAGAGAGAGAGAGAAAGAGAGAGAGAATGGGCCCATGTCTGATTACAATATAATTTGTAAGTGCTGTGATTTCCCCAAATTCTTTTAACAGCCAATTTGCTTCAGAGGGGAGCTGATGCCCTGTAGTAGACATGTAAGGGCATCAAAGGGGGGAATGACAAGGAAAACCCCCATCTGTTACTTGGCACATCAGCCACCTGAGACCCCCCACCCCTCACGGAAGACCCGCATCAGCGTAATACTAACCTATTACCGGGCCCATCAACTAATCTATTACCTGGCGCATCAGCATAACACTAAATCTATTATCTGACACATCAACTAACCTATTACCAGGCGAGCATTAACCACCTGACACCCTACCCCCAAGACCACCACAACTTAATAAAAGTGGGAAAAATCGGGTAGGCGGGGCTCAGAATTTTTTTAATTTCAGCATATTATGGGGGTACAGATGTTTAGGTTACGTATGTTGCCCTTACCCCCCCTCCCCCCCAAGTCCGAGCTTCAAGCCTGTCCATCCCCCAGGAGGTGCGAATAGCACTCATTGTTTGTGCATATGCCCATCCCCCCTCCCCCTCCCCTGCCGAACATCCAATAAATGTTATTCTTATATGTGCACTTAAGTGTTGATCAGTTAATACCAATTTGATGGTGAGTACATGTGGTACTTGTTTTTCCATTCTTGGGATACTTCGCTTAACAGAATGTGTTCCAGCTCTTTCCAGGAGAATACAAGAGGTGCTATATCACCATTGTTTCTTAAAGCTGAATACACTCCATGGTATACATACAAGCAGAGCTACCATTTGATCCAGCAATCCCATTACTGGGCATCTACCCAAAAGAACAAATGATACTCTATGAAAAAGACACCTGCACCCGAATGTTTATAGCAGCACAATTCACAATTGCAAAGATGTGGAAACAACCCAAGTGTCCATCAATACATGAGTGGATTAATAAAATGTGGTATGTGTATACCAGCGAATAAACTTTGATTCTCCGACTCTCCACGTGCCGCTCGGCTCGTCCTTGGGACCACCGGCTGTAACACTTGCCGTAACAGAGCTGCGGCGGCTTACACGTGCTACAGCACAGAGCCCCCCAATTGCTTGTGAGGGAGGACCAGTTTTGTTGGGTTTTTAGTTTCCAAACCATCACAGATAAATATTTCCATAAAATATAATAAAATGAACTGCTAGAAAAATAAAATGAAAAGATATTCATAGAACGTACAAGGCTACTTTTTTATTATTCAACAGATTATTCTGTCAAATCGGTATGGAAGTTTCTAGGCGCTTTACTCTCGATTTCTGTACTTCTCTTGTACACCGGTACAGTCTGCACAGAGCACCACTGCACGAAGCGCAGCTGAACAGCACTGCCACAGCAAAGACAGATGCGGCAAACCGTCCTACCATGTCTGGCTGTTCCCTTGGTTCAGAGAGGGAGGCTACAAATAAAAATGATTTCAGATTCACTCCCTGGACTACAGAAAGTTCATTCGGAGAGTCTCTCTCCAGGACGGAGAATCGCAGCAGGGACTCCGGGCAGGTGTGGCTCTGGGTTGTCTGGAGGTAGGTGGTGGCACCAACCCGCTGTTGTGTTCAGGTAATAAGAGTGTGAAGCTCACACAGAGCTGCTGCTGGAGCCCTGTCCGCCCACACCCTGAACTTCCCAACCCTAACTGTGGCAACCCCGGCCGCAGCTACCTCCCTGCATGACAAGAACAAAGAGTCATCTACTAAAATGGACTGGGGCATTTCAGAAAATAAATCATTTTCAAAACGTCAAGAGGGCTGCTGGTGTTCATTCCTACTATTTAATGCTATAAAAATGATTTTTTTTTTAAATTGAGAAATCCTTTGTCTGTGACAGCCAGCTCCAAAAAAAGCCTTTAACTGCCAATTGCCTTAATACTTGAGGGAGGCATTACAAGTCATTTTCACCCATTTGAATGTTTAAGAGAAAGTACTCATTTCTCTAAACTCTCAGCTTTTAAGTCGTTCTTATTTTAAACTTTAGAAGAAGGTAACTCTGCAGAAGAAAAACTTCCCTTTTCCAAGTCTTGTTTGTTTTGTTTTTTTCATGCAAACACACATACACTCTCCCTGCTTCAAATGCTAAATCATCTGCAATTTTGGAGTTTGTTGCTCATGAAATTCTAGAGATAAGCACATCACCAACATTCCTATAGCAACAGAATGTTTTCGAAGCAATGTCTGTAATGCTACAAAGATTATATATCATTATCTCTGAATGTTGGCGCAGCGAAGGTTATGGGAATAATTGTTTATGTACAAATAAGTCAATACAGTAACTGGCAACCTGAACAGCAGACCTTATCAAGGAGCTAAATCATGGCACAGGGTTCCTATGAATAAATTCACCATCTTTACCCTCAACTGTGTGAAAATAACTCTCCAGGCTCCTCTGCAGCAGCGTGAGTCCTTGGAACTGCTTGCTTGTCTCGTGGGCAAGACTTATGCTTGATGTATCAATTTTTATTGGCCATTTACTATATGTAAGGCATGAGGCTAGGCTCTAGGTTTCTAAAGATGGGTTATTTTTCAAAGAGGCTCAAAAGAAACATATAACAGATAATTACAATTCCCTTTTCCTGCTAAGAAGAGATTATTGGCTGGAGTTAAGGAAACGAAATTAACTAGCTCCATCCATCCGTCTATCCATCCAACCATCTATTCATCCATCTGGTGCTGGCTGGGTGCCTAATACGTACTACGCAAGTGAAGGCAGTAGGCATAAACAGTTGAGCGAGACCAATGTGTCCCCTGCCTTCACGGAGCTTATAATCTAGTGGAGGAAGCCAACATTAGCAAGTCAGAAATAACTATAATAGTTAGTGGCGCCCCCTAAAGAGGCATGGCTACTGCTATAATTAATAGCATATGCCGTAGCATGGAAAAGGGTCAGTAGTGCTTTCCTAAGGAATCAATCTTTTAATGTGAGGCCTAAGAATAAATTCGTGAAGCAAAGTAGGGAAAGCAGGAAGGAAGGGATAGAGAGGAAGGGTGTTGCTGGCACAATGAATAGCCTGTGCAAAGGTTCTGTCACAGGAAGGAGTCCTGCATGCTCTAGCTATGAAAGGAGGCTCTTAAGGAGGATACATTGGTTTTTAACCTCACGCCATGCTCCAGTCACTATGGTATTCAAGACAGGCATTAAAGATAGGCAGAGGTTTTTTAAAAAAGAACCCAAGGAGTTACGTAGCACAAATCAGGAACATGTTGTGCGTAATTGCTAAATTCTCCCTCTTCTTACGCTGGTATGAGACATCCAGAACAGGAGCCACCTTGCCCTCCCTCCCAATGCATAACAAACTTTAGGATTCTTATCCACTTTTTTCTGCAACAGCGGTAACTTGGTTAAATTCAGTTTGGCCCATGATAAAATTAGTTGGTCAATGCTAACGTAAGACCGACAGCAAGTGTGAGATTTGGGATGTGGACGAGCATCTACTAAAATCATTGCTGGAGAAGACTGACCATGGGTGTCACTTTAAGGAAGGTCACATAATTTCACGCACAGCATATGAGCTTTGGCGCTAAGCAGACCTGGGCTCAAATCCGGCCCTGCTCTTCACTGGCCTTGTGGCCTTTTCCCTCTTCTGTGAAATGGGTTAGCAGAGCTTTCCTTGCAGGGGGCTCAGGGAGATCAGTGAGAACGTAGGTCCCACCCTGAGCATGCTGCCTGGCTCCCAACTGGCCCTGGATAAGTGGCAGCCATGGGGACAGACATGCCGCCCCCACCAATGTGAAAATCAAGAGGAATCCACGAGGACTTCCCAGTCAGTTCTGGGGCTGCAGGGCAGCTCTGTGAGGGCTCGGGGTCAGCCGTCACTGACCAGGGGGCCCGATGACTGACTCTTTCTTGGTCTGTGCCCTGAAGAGTCCTCCAGTCACTGTGCTGGAGGATCCCAGAGCCATCCAGCCACCATCCGGAGGATTTACAAATCACTCCACCCAGGAGCTCAGGGACAGAAGCCAGCAGACCTGGGTTCTGGTTCCAGTTCTGTCTCCACCACTACGGGCCAGGGTCCCCATGACAAACAGGCGAATCCCAGATGGCAGAGGAGGTGAAGCAGCTACCATATCCCAAAGGCCTAATTCAGGCCACGCATGTTGCTGGACTCCCCAGACAGTGCCTCCAGGATTTATTTCATATAATCATCCTGCAGCGTCACTGCTGGGATCACCATTTTGTAAGTGAGAAAACCGAGGCCCGGCGACTTGCCCAGGGCCACAGACCCGAGTGTGGAGCCAGGGCTCGAAGTGCCAAAGCTCTTCCACTTTAACCCTCACCGCACCCCCACACGGGGATGGAAATTTTATCTCCTTCCCATGTGACCACGGAGGAAACAGCCCTGGAAGGCTGTGCAACTTCCAAAGCCCCCAGCCCGCCGGCCAGCAGGCACCCACGCTGAGCCTCAGTCTCCCTCTGCACGACGGCAGCGACAAACGCTGCCTCACGTGCCACACTGCTGTTAGAGCTGGGAGGAATGAGGATTTAAGGGTCTTGGGGAGGGAAAAACACTAATATACAGAAATGAGCTCTTCAAATGGCGATCTAAAACCCCAAATCAAAGAAGAAAGGTTCTCCTCAGCCACAAGGCAGTTGGAATGAACAGAACAGCTCGCACCCCACCAGACAGGGGGTGGGGGGTTCAGCCGGGGACGGGAGGGACACGGGA